CGTGCCTTGAAGACAGGCGGCTCTCCAGGGGGGCGCTTCACCTTGAAGAGCCACCGACCATCGACTACGTTCACCCCAGGCGGGGGAACTGCATCGACGTAAGTGCCGGTGGACCTCCAAGATGCCATCTCCTGCTCCATGGCAGCTATCCACTGAGAGGCCCAAGGTCCCGAGGTGGCCTCAGCGTAGGTGCGAGGGGTCGGGATGTCGAAGGCGTCTGGGTCACTCTCTGGGACTAGGAGCATGGAGCAGAGATGGGGAGCGGCCTCGGAAAGGAAAGCAAGCTCGTACTGCCTGTCCTCTAGTACGTTACTGCCAAGGGCAGGTGCACCCCCGACAGACGCAGGACGGGCAAGGTCAGAGACCAGAGCGGTAGCATAGTCAAGGCAGTGGGTAGAGGCGAAGTCAGCGACAGCAGCGACAAGCGCGTCAAGGCGAGAGACAGGAACAAACGGGTATGTAATGAGAGAGGCAAGGACCCGAGGGACAAGGGGACGAGCGGCACGGAGGTAGTCAGAGAGCGGGGGAGGTGCAACAACAAGAGACGAGGGAGGAGGCGAGGGGAGGAGGGGAGGACGAGACACGTGAGAACGGAGTAACATAGGGTGGGAGCGCAGGACAGGGGAGACGGGACGAGCACGTGAGGGACGGCGAGACCAAACGTGGGACAATGGTGTAGGGTCAGGAGACAGCGGAGGGGACGCAAGAGGGGAACGAAGAGGAATACGGGCCGGAGAAGAGTCCGGGGGCGGGAACGGAGGGCTGTAGACAGGAAGGTGAGGAGGAGATGGGGAGACACCGCCGAGCGGTCAGGGGAGGAAAGGCCGAGCAGGCGAAGAGCGGAGACCGGCGGCGACGACTGTGGCGGCTGGTGCAGCGGCAGGTGCTCGACCCTCGAATCGGCAGGGGCACGACAACCTCCGGGAGAACACTCAACAGCAGCACCCCCAGAACTAACACCCCCAGAGCGAGAACGCCCTCCAGCCCCAGCGGCACCCCCAGGCCCGCCGGGATAGACCACGCCAGGAGCCGCAGGATGAACACCCTCCTCAGCGCCAGCACCCCCAGAGGCCAAGAGCGGCAGCGGCGGCGGCGGCGGCTGCGATGGCGGCGGCGACGGCAGCGGCGGCGGCGGCGACAACAGCGGCGACTGCGACAGTGGGGGGGGGACACCAGGGAAGGGGGACGCGGCAAAGGCGGGGCAGGGGACCACCAGAGTCAGCAGACTCCTCAACAGGGACAACTGACGGGAGGGGAGTGACATGGGAGACACTAGACGGGGCAGGACGAGGCAGGAGGGAGGAGGGGCTACCGGGTGAGTGGGGCAATGAACAGGGGGGGGGAACCGGGAGACCTCGGTGAGGGAAGCGACGGTAGAAGGAGACGGACTCGTCAAAGGTGACGTCACGAGAGTGGAGGAAGCGGTGAGACTGCGGGTGGTAGAAGAGCCAGTCAGACAAGTCCAGGGGAAACCAAGGAAGACACAGGGGATAGTGCGGGCAGTGAGCTTGTCCGTGCCAGAGGCACGAACGTGAGCAAGACAGCCCCAGACGTGGAACGCAGACGCGTCACGGGGGGACCCGGTCCAAAGGAGGGTCGGCGAAACCTGCGGCCGCTGGGAGCGTGGCCACAAGTTAAGCTGGTGAGCGGCGAGGCGAACGGCGAACGGCCACTGAAAATGGGGTGGACCGGCATGGATCATGGAGGTACGAGCCACCTCCATGACCAAGCCGATGCGGTGCTCAGCAACCCCATTCTACTGTGGCGAGTCCGGCAAGGTGTACGACTGGGTGATGCCCTCCGCACGACAGAACTGTCCAAGCCGACCAGATGCGAACTCGCCGCCATGGTCAGAGTGGAGACACAACACGGGGAGACCGCGGTGAAGACGCGCAGCCACAACCCACGGGAGAAGAACGTCGGGCACGTCGGCCTTCCGCTCCAGGGGAAACACCGTGGTGTAGCGCGTGTAGTCGTTGACGAGCACAAGACAGTAGCGCTCGCCACGCGGTCCGGGGATGGGGGCTGGGCCCCAAACGTCCAGGTGCAGGGTCTGAAGGGGAGCAGTAGCATGGCGAAGCGAGGAGGAGTGAGGGGCACGGCGGAGCCGGCCCTCAACGCAGGGCGTGCACGGTGGAGTAGGCGAGAGGGGAAGGGCGGGGAGCGACGCGGGGAGCCTAAGACAAGACCGTGCTGGGACATGTGACGAAGACGCGGGAGTGCAGGGTGACCTAGGCGGTGGTGCCACAAAAGGGACGGGTGAGTGAGAGACCGACACGAGCACGCTGCAGCGAACTGGGAGGACGCACCAACCGGGGGGGAGCGGTGTCGAGGGTAAACAGACCGGACACCGAGTCCCAGGGGAACGTCGCAAGGGGGGAACCTGAGACAGCCTCGGTACAGACAGCGAACCGCTCGTGCGCAGGGAATGTAGTGGTGACGCCGAGGTCCTGAAGACAGCCGACACCAACCAGGTTCCTGGAGAACGAGGGAACGTGAAGGCCTGTAAGGGAGCCTGAGGGGACGGCTGGACAGGGAAGGGAAGTGGAGCTGCGAGCGACGACAGGACCCGCAGAGGGTCAGCGAGAGCGACAACAGCAGGCGCGGCAAGCGGCGTGAGCGTGGAGCGGTCGCGGAAGAAACAGGCAGAAGCACCGGAGTCGAGAGTGAAGGACAGCGAGGCAGTAGCAGAGGCCGGGGACGATGCCGGTGCAGGAACGAGGCTAGGCAACCTAGGCAGTCCTACGCCTGACGCAGCAGGGGAAGCTAAGCTACACAAGGGTGCTACACCTAAACTAGAGTACACAGGGTAATAAGATCCAGCAACACTAGAAGCGTCAGCATACAAGGCATGCAAAGCAGCACCTATTTGATCCATATCTAACTCAAAGATCGGTACGCCCTGGCGAAGCAGGCTGTGCCAGTCGGGGAGGTCCGGGGCCGGGCCAAAGCGACGACGAAAGAGATCGTCGAGGCGGCGGAAACAGCGGCGGTCGGGTGCGGGCGGCGGCACAGAGTGCCGCGGAGAGGCCCGGTCTGAAGCTGGTACTGGCAGGTCACAGCACGGAGCGCCGGTAGACGCCAAGCTGCGCGGGCCACCACCACGGCCACCACCTCCGGAGGTGCCGGGCCAACCAGGCGGGAGACGAGCCCACGGCTGCGGCGGCTGCTGCTGGGACGGCGGCGGCTGCTGGGGCTGCTCCTGCTGCGGGCGACTGCGTCTGCTCCTGCCCACCGGTGGTAGTCCCCTCAGGGGACTACCGTCACCACCACCACTACCACCACCACCAGCGCCACCACCACGACCTCCCTGGCGGCCACGGCCACCGCGGCGCGGCGCTGCTGCGGGTGGACCAGCAGCCGTCTCGGTAAGAGGGGTCGCAGTGGCGACCGCAGCCGAAACGTCAGTAAACGTGCACTGGGAGGGGGCACAGCCGTGAAAGATAGAGACTGCCGGCGCACCGCTCGACTGAGCGATAGTGCGCTGGCGAGTCTCGATCTCGGTGAGGGTGTCGACAAAGGCGGTCAGGGTGAGGTCACCCGGGTGCTGGCTAAGGAAGCGGTCGCGGGCACTAGCTAGGCGGTCCGGCAGGCGCATGGCGATAAAATAGAGGTCATGCAGAATGGGGGGGGAGCGCAGTGAGCTGGGCAGCAGTGCTGGCAGTGCGATAGCGAGTCTCTAGGGCACGCAAGTGAGTGGCAAAGTCTGCGACAGTAGGGAAGGCAGCAAGGTCTGGGAACAGCATCGGGAAGAGATGCAGGCGTGGAATAGCGAGCAAACAGCGTCTAAATAAGCTTTGGCCGTATCAACGTAGCGAAACGCGAGCGCTCAGACACAGGGAGGGCGTGACTGATAGCAACCTGAGCTACTGCATCGCGTGAGTCCCAGACCGCAACAGGCAAGCGCAGCAGTAGAGAAAGCCTCACTCTCAGCGGAGGTGGGGTCAGCAGGGAGGGGAGCAGGTGGCCTCAGCGTCCAGGCGGACCACGAAGTCAGCCATCGTGCAGGGTCAGCGATACAGCTCCTCAGTGACACAACAGCACAGCTCCACAGCTCGGCAGGAGCACATCGGCACGGGGACACGGCGGCAGCACTCTCCAGTAGGCGGCTGCAGGGGCGCCCCAGCGCGGGCTAGCAGAGGACACGGGGCCCGAGGTGGCACGGCAGGCCGAGCAGGCACGAGGAGGGGCCGGGCGTCGCACTGGGACCGGGCAGGCGCTAGGAGGGGCCTAGCACGCGCGGGGCGCCGGGCAGGCGCGACTGGGGGCCGGCAGGCACGAGAGGGGCGCGCGGACGCTGCTGGGGCCGGCTAGGAGCGGGCTCGACGGTCAGTGGGCCGGTCAGGAGCGGGCGCGTGGGGCCAGGGGGGTCAGCTAGGAGCGGGCGCGACGGCCAGTGGGTCAGCTAGGGGCGGGCGCGAACGGCCAGGGGCCGGCTAGGAGCGGGCGCAAACGGCTAGGGGGCCGGCTGGGGCCGGACGTGACGGCCAGGGGGCCGGCTAGGGCGGACGCGACGGCCAAGGGGCCAGCTAGGGGCGGACGCGACGGCCAGGGGGCCAGCTGAGGGCGGACGCGACGGCCAGGGGCCAGCTAGGGGCGGACGCGACGGCCAGGGGGCAGCTGAGGGCGGACGCGACGGCCAGGGGGCCGACTTTGGGCGGACGCGACGGCCAAGGGGCCAGCTAGGGGCGGACACGACGGCCAAGGGGCCGGCTAGGGGCGGACGCGACGGCCAGGGGGCCGACTAGGGGCGGACGCGACGACCAAGGGGCCGACTTGGGCGAACGCGACGGCCAGGGGGGCCAGCTAGGGGCAGACGCGACGGCCAGGGGGCCAGCTAGGGGCGGATGCGACGGCCAGGGGGCCGGCTAGGGGCGGACGCGACGGCCAGGGGGCCGGCTAGGGCGGGCGAGAGACTAGGGCGCGGGCGGAAGCGGGCGGGTGAACCTAACCTACTCGATACCATGTTAGATTACGTGAATGAATTACTAGAGGGAAACAGGGAACATATAGCAGTTGGGTTGTACTCACTAAGAGCACACACCGATACTAGCCTATAACTTCTACATGCATGATATGTATAAGTTGACATAAGGGTGGTACACAAAATTAACTCTGAAAATCAGAGAATCAGAGTAATTTACTCGTGAAAAATAGGCACCCTGAGCAATCAGGGTACCTCAAAACCAATCTGATGCCCTGCTCTACACTCACAATTGCTTAATTTGACTAAGGCAAGGAAGCTCTCCTCCCTGCGCCATGCTTGGCCCTGCCATCTCCTCATCTGCTGCTGCACTTTCCCTCTCCACCTCCAGCACCAGCTTTTGGTACTCAGCAAATCCTGCCTCCGCTGCTGCCAGCCCCTTCACTGTATCCATTAGCTCATTCCCCTCTGGTTAAGGAACAGACATTCCCTTGTCCACTTTCATCGCCGGGGCACTGTTTCAGCCAGCACCTGCTTCAGTACCAACTCCCCCTTCATTGCAGCATCATGCATGCCCATGGCTTGATGCATGCCAATGACTTGATGCGTGCCCATGACTTGATGCATGCCCATGACTTGATGCATGCCCATGGCTTGATGCATGCCCATGCCCATGACTCACGCGTGTGACCACCTCATCAAGCATGCATGCAAGAGCAGAGGTGCCATCCAGGAATAACCCACTGAACGAAAAACCGGCAGGGCTCTCAGAATGAAATATGACAATCTAACAATGGCATGCTGACGTGGCATCTTCGGAATGACAGTTGTACTTACAATACAAGCAGCAGAGCTGCCACCTGGACGGGCGCTCCACCCCAGGCCTCCATGCACCCGCAGTGAAGGCGATCTGCGCACTTCAGCCTATGCGCTGGGGCTGGGGGATGGGAAAATTCAGGAGAAGGGTCAAATTGGAGAGGAAGAAGAAATGAGCAGAGGAACGGAACCGACCAAGAAAAAGGGGAAATTTCAGGAAAGGGAGGGGCTGACTAGGGATTGGTTTAGCATGTCGAGGGGAGGACGAAACATAGGAGATCAAAGGGAAGAGGGGAGAGGTCCAGGGGAAGGGGAACAGACTAGGTGGGAAGACTTGGCGAAAGGCCAGACAAGGGGGCATGGGAACAGAAAAACAGAAAGGAAAAGGGTAAGGGAGGAACGGAAACAGTTTTCCTGGACAGGGAAGCAAGCAAGGGAATGTGGCGAGGGGCTAAGGAAGCCATGTCTGGAAGACGTGGCGGGTTGAGAGTGAGTGC